AGTAGCCCAAGAGTTGGCAGTGGGTGGTGATAACTAGCTGCCTTCCCTCTAGTCTTACACTGCTAAATTAGGGACGGCTAGCGCAGATAGCCCTCGTGTAGCTTTGCGCGAAATTTAAAACAAACAAACGAATAGACAACAAACCCTATTCAGTTTCAAGTACCTGGAAGATATATGCTCTATGATCATATATCTCACGTTTTTACAGAAACATGCACGCGCACACATACGAGCGTGTGCAAGTTTTTTGATTATAATAATGAGGATATGTTACATATTAAGGAAACACATGTAAACCGGTTACAGTCTCCCTAAGGATGTCCGGAAGGTTTTACAATTAGATAAAGTAATAAAAAGCACCTGTCTCGTATATAAAAGTTTAAATAATATCATAAACACTTGATCATGGTTTAAAAAAGTATGTTTACGAAACAGAACCCTCCGACCCAAAATTAACATTACGATGAAGCTGGTCATATCTCCCGAAACCCTTCACAAGATGATAAATAAACATTTGAATTTAACAAAGGCTCACAAATAAAAATATGAAAGGCTCGAAATCAATGATTGTTTTCGTGAGAAAATTGGCCCAGACACAACAAAGTTTGTTAATGTTGTAGGAGATATGCAACAACACACGTGTAGAATAGACACAACAAAGTTTATTAATGTTGAAGAAGATATGCAATAACATCCGTGTAGAATAGACACAGCAAAGTTTGTTAGTGTTGTAGGAGATATGCAACAACATCCGTGTAGAATATACACAATAAAGTTTGTTTGTGATGTAGGCGTATGCAACAACATACGTGCAGAATAGACACAGCAAAGTTTGTTTGTGTTGTAGGAGATATGCAATAACATCCATGTAGAATATGTACAACAAAGTTTGTTAATGTTGTAAGAGATATGCAACAATATACGTGCAGAATAGACACAACAAAGTTTGTTAATGTTGTAGGAGATATGCAACAACAACATCCGTGTAGAATATACACAACAAAGTTTGTTAATGTTGTAGGAGATATGCAACAACCGTGTAGAATATATACAACAAAGTTTGTTAGTGTTGAAGAAGATATGTAACAACATCCGTGTAGAATATACACAACTAAAGTTTGTTAGTGTTGTAGGAGATATGCAACAACAACATCCGTGTAGAATATACACAACAAAGTTTGTTAATGTTGTAGGAGATATGCAACAACCGTGTAGAATATATACAACAAAGTTTGTTAATGTTGTAGG